ACTATATATGCATATAATTTTTTTTTTTTTTAACAATATGGGGCCCCAAAAAATTGGTTTTGAGGACCCTGTGCGGCCACACATGTTAGACATGCTTAGAACCGGTCCTGGATCTGGGCCGCCATAAGATATTGAATTGGGAAATAACTGCTTTGGCTGCCATACTTAAATAGATACGACTGTCCTATTATTAACTCACATACTCTAAGCCATTGCCAAATATTCATATACTATTGTGAGTAACTTTCCTTTCTTTTCCTTTAAATATTATTGGGGAAATGGTCAAATAAATTTCTAAACTTTACTCAAAAAATTAATTAAGCCCCTAAATTTTTTAAAATTTCAATTAAACCTATAAACAAATCATTTTAGTGCATTAAAGTCCACAAACCGGTTTATGATCTATAGTAACAGGTCATTAGAGTTCCGGTGACTCTCCGACCAACTCTGGCGACTTTCCAACCAAACTCTGGCCACTACTGGAAATTATGGAATTTCCGACCACCTGAAAGTGATCTTAAATCAAGTCGAAAGCCTTGTTCCGACCACTTTTGGTATCCGGAAAAACCTTTGTTGCTATTTTCGACCACTTTTTACTTTCAACTTGATTTAAGATCACTTTCAGGTGATCGAAAATTCCATAATTTCCAGTAGTGGACGAACCAGCAAGAAGGCGACAACCAGAAGGAGATCAGGCCTTTTTTTCCGAGAGAAGGGGTTGCCTTCTCCGGCAAACCATATATATGGTCGGCTTCTCTAGGGAAGAAGGCCACCATTTTTGGTCGCCTTCTTCTTTGGCGGACTAGAAGACAACCAAATTGTCATTGTTTGCTCTGCCGGAGAAGGCAACCCCTTCTCTCGGAGAAGAAGGTGTGGTTTCCTTCTGGTCGTTTCCTTCTCTCTGGTTCGTCGGAATTTGGTCGTTTTTCGCCGGAGTTTGGTCGAAAAGTCGGTGGAGTTGGTCGGAGGACCGGAACCCTAATGATCTGGTATATATTATAGGTCATAAATTGGTTTATGGACTTCAATGCACTAAAATGACTTGTTTATGGGTCTAATTACAACTTTAAAAAGTTTAGAGGCTTAATTGAATTTTCGTGTAAAATTTAGGTGTCTATTTAACCCTTTTTCCTAAATTATTTATTCAATTTTGATCATTTCATGTTTAATTAAGGATTTTTCTTTTAAATTACTTCATAAAAACGTACGAAATGTATGTTATTGCATGCCTGCAGGTGTTTCCAAGAGGTATGCAGTATGTATGTTGAAGAGTGTCGTAAACAAAATGGTGATGCACCAAGAAATCTTAAATGCTTGTGCGATCGACTCAAAACCCTAGACGAAACGTAGGTTGGATTGCACATTAATGACTATATGCTCAACACGCTCCCTCACGTGTGCAATTTGTGGGTGAACTTATTGGAAATAAACTTATAACTTGTACAAACCAATTAGGGATGTAGATTTTTGTTAAGAATGATTGTGATAAGCCATGCAATAGCTTATATTTGTGCTTTATATATATGCTTGTTTTTTGCTCAAATGTTAGGTAAAAGAAGGTGAAACAATGCTTAATTTGGTGTATTTTGTATTGAAGGAAAGAAAGATCTAGTAATGATGCAAGCTAAGCAAGTATGAAAGGAAATTAATCTTGAAAGAAGACGAGACATTAAGACAAAAGGCAAGAATTCGTAAGCACACCAAAGAACAAAGGAGTAGAATGGTACCTATGAATTTACTTATAAATTAAAACACACACAAATTTTATTAATTTATCTACAAATTTTATCTTCAACAAATTTAATTTTTTTTATAATGCTCAATTTCTTGCTCTTGTCGGTCGTCTAGATCAATTCTCTCCATCCACATGTTTCTTATTTGATTGTTTATATGTATCTTTCTCGGTCTTTTTTTATATTATTTTAAAATATTAAATTTTGTCATTATATTATAAAAGTAATAAATTTAGTTCATGTAGTGTTACAGCTACAATAATTGAGTAAATAAAAAAGGTTTGTTTCCCTGTCAACGACCATGACCATCACCTTTCCAATGGATGTGACCGCGGAGCCTTCGTCGTCATCGTCCATGACATCATCTACGAACATTGTGCTTTCGTCACCCACTTGAAAATATCAATGTTGAAGAGATGATATGATAATAAATTATAATTACTCCTTCCATCCTTAAGGGGGTGTTTGGTTGGATGGAAAACATTTTTCATGGAAAATGTTTTTCTAAAAGTGAAGGAAAATAATGTTTTATGTTGTTTGGTTGAATGGAAAACTTTTTTCATTAGAAAAAGTTTTCCTTAAGAACAAGGAAAAAAAATTCCTAGCTTATGCTAGGTATTTTGTTTTCTATGGAAAACTAATATGACAATTTTATCCTCATCATTCTTTATTAATTACTCTTATTATTATTATTATATTATTATTATTATTTTGTAGGGTTATATTTGTCATTATACTCGTTATTCCTTACCCTTCCAAACTCAACCAAACAATGGAATTCATATTCCTAGTAATTTCTTTTCCACCAACCAAACAATGGAATCTGTTTTCTTGGAATTTATTTTCCATGGAATTTCAATTCCATTTCCCTTCAAATATTTTCCAGCGAACCAAACGAGCTGTAATTGTTTGTCATGATTGCCTTTTACACAATTTTTAATGCAATAAAATAAATATTACTAACTTATTTAATTTTGTACCTTAAAAATAAGTATCATTCTTCCAACTTTTGTTTTTGGCCCCCCACACCCCGGCCCGACATAATATTTGGGAGGTTGTAAATCATGGTCACTCAACTGTACATGAATCAACTGTAAAAATCAGTATCATATATTTATATAAAGTACAATTTTACTTATCTCATTAATTGTTTAGAAATTTAAAAACGCCAAGCGTAAATTTAATGATGCACTTTTCATTTTTTGTTTATTGGAGTCCTTTCACCTTATCTCTTTTCTTTTTTCTTCACTTTTTCTCTTGTCAGGCTGCAGCACATCAAGCATTGAGGGGTTATCTTCCAGCTGTTTCATTTCATGATTTGCAACTCTTTATTTAATTTTGGAAAAACAACATTATTAATTTAAATAAATTTAGTCTTTTAATTATCTATTATGTTATTACATTTTTAGTCTATGGTATTATCTGATTATCAAAGTCCAATCCGTTAACGAATTCTTCTTAATGAGATTATTTTTGTGACATAGAACGAACAATATCTATTATTCCGTATTAACGTTTTAATTTCTTCATGTGAATGTCATTTTTAATTTAATAGTGAATACTAATTCTAAATAATAAAAATAATTTCATACATTAAAATAGCTTGACAATTATATAGCACTACTGCACTAGGGACAAAAAGTACAACATTATGAATAATTATGGGGTGTTTGGTAGAATGTAGTTGCAATTCAATTATTACAATGTTTTCTTTGGCAATAAAAATTACAGTGTTTGGTTTGAGGGAATTGCAATTCTCGCATTTTGTTGAATTGCAATTCATACCCTATCCCATATGAATTGCAATTCACACTACTGGAAATTATGAAATTTCCGACCACCTGAAAGTGATATTAAATCAAGTTGAAAGTCTTGTTCTGATCACTTTTGGTATCCGGAAAAACCTTTGTTGCTATTTCCGACCACTTTTTGCTTTCGGCTTGATTTAAGATCACTTTCAAGTGGTCGGAAATTCCATAATTTCCAGCAGTGTCAATGGGGGAAAAATGGAAAAAGGAAGAAAAAAGACTTTTTTTACCCTTGATTATTATTAGTATTATTGTTACACATTACACAAGGACATTTTAATCTTTAATTTATACCACTTCTTTCCTTTCCATTTTCAATAATTCTATTCCTTCTTATCAAACAATGTTATTTGAATTCCTACTTTATTCTCATATTATTCCTTTTCAACAGAATTACAATTTCTTTTCTCCCTAATTCCTTTCGCACAACCAAACACCCTGTTAAGGGGCTAACTTTGTTTAAATTAACTTACCGGGACCAAATTTCTAAAAGAGAAACACTTCAAAGGCTAAAAGTGTCGTTTTTCATTTAATTTATTTACCATTCAATTTTTATAATATTTAATCTAATATTAATGTGTAAAATGTACATATTTTAAAATTACATTATCATCAAAGAAATAGACAACTTTAAAATTTAGAAGATGATGATTGACGTTAGAAAAAAGTGTTTAAAAAAAAAAGAAGAAGAAGAAGAAGAAGAAGAAGAAGAAGAAGAAGAAGAAGAAGAAGAAGAAGAAGAAGAATTAATTTTACAAAGAAATATAGAGGTGGGTACTGGGTAATGTTCATCTTTTAATTTTACTGTTGTCCCAAGTCCTCCATTGCACCCTGTCCCCTACTTTTTTTTTTTTCTTTTTTTTTTTTTGGTGGAACATGTAAATTGTTCGTTTGTGGTTTGTTGTTTTCTACATTTGTATGTGGAAGAACTCCTTTTCCTTACAAAGTACTGAGTATTCACATGTGCTTCAATAATTCATGTGTCTCCTATGTATAGACTTGGCCACGGATTGGTTTTAATTGAAGGATCAAAACTGAATTCTTATTGCAAATCAGTTTTGTACCATAACTGTACAAAGCTTATGGATATGGTTTAAACGTGAAGAACTAAGATTATGGTTTTAATGTCTGCATGGGACAAGTACGACCTAGGGTTAGGACCTGACAGTCAGAGAATTACACACAATGTAGTGAGCTCTTTACGAGGACTTGATATTGGTCCTCCCACTTAAAAAATCAGTAAGCTCTCTTGATACACCCATCAACCATCTTGTCAGGCCATGACCGAAGGGGTTACCAAACTACCAAAGCAAAATTTGATTGAAAAGGCTAACTTGATAAAAGCGAATGTGCTAAAAAAAATTAAGTTAATCATTAGTTCATGAACCACCTAGTAACTATATAGTAGCAATAATTTGTGACAATGATAAATCGTGAACCAATAGTTTTGAATATAATTGAACTGAACCAAACCAAACCGAACCAGCCTGAGGATAGGCTAGGTCTCTATATATATCCTCTGTCTCTATGCTTCCCTATACAAACTTGCAATATAATTAAGTTTTCAAAGTTGAGATCGAGTAAATTTGAATCAATGGCTTATCCGAGCTCTTATCATGGCAAAGGTATGATACTATGCGTGGTATATTCAATTATTCATATAGATAGATTATTATTAGTTTAATATATATAATTTCAGTATGCATATATATATATATATATATATATATATATATATATATATATATATATATATATTGAAAGGTTCCCGTGCGGATGTGCGGTGGATTAATGTGCGTGAGATTTGTACACAATGTGCGTGAGTGTTGTGCTTAATGTGCCTGAGATTTGTACTTAATGTGCGTGAATGTGTAAAATGCAGCAGAAAATATTGATGTTAGCTTCTTTCCCATCCCCAGTAGCCATTTGCCCCTCCCTGATGATGATGATGCAGAGGCGGGCTATGGTGGTTAAGAATTATGGGAATAATACAACAGAAATCCACACTTAGCTACTATGCAAATTTTACTGTGCGTGCGTCATTTATATAAACATTCAACTGCACTGAAGGTAGCTGATAATCCAGAATCCATGGCCAAATTAAAGGAAGAAGTAACAAGAAGCTTGGGCGTTAATGTGCGTGAGTTTCTGTTTTGCTTCTTTCTGAGCTCGTAATTCTGAAATACTCACGCACATTAAGCACAAATCTCATGCACATTAAACACAATACCAGGCACATTAAACACAATACTCATGCATATTAACATGACGCACATTAAGTACAAATCTCAGGCACATTAAGTATAAACCTCACGCACATTAATCCACCGCACATCCGCACGGAAGCAACAAATACACCTGATCCATTCCCTATATATATATATATATATATATATATATATATATATATATATATATATATATATATATATATATATATATATATATGATGGATAGCCTAGTCTGCAGATGATGGTGATCTTGAAGCAGGTAATTATTATGTGGTTGAAGAAGGCAAATATTTGGGATTGTACAGAGCTACAGTGCAAGGAGATTGGGATGAAGCTCAAAAACTGTTCAACCAACATGACAATAATAATAACAATATGATTGTTTATATATATCTTTCTCGGTCTTTGTATAATATTTTAAAATATTAAATTTTGTCTTTATATTATAAAATTAATAAATTTATGAGTAATTCTACATGTACTCCTAATTTATACTCCAATTTTATATTTTTTATGATTTGACATGCTTTGATTGTTCAATATTATAGGGGGTCATGATGCTTATTCATTTCTTTGTTTCATCCTCCAATCAAATTTAGACATAAGTGAAATTAAAAATTGGGAGTAAAAGTTCCTAAATTTATTTCATGTACTATTACAGCTACAATAATCGAGAACCATGACCATCACCTTTCCAATGGATGTGATGGCGGAGCCTTCGTCGTCATCGTCCATGACATCATCCACAAACATTGAGGCTCTTATGGATAAAATGACGGTTAACTAATTGTGTTAGTTAGGGGTATAAATAGTTGATAATAACATTAGTTGATTGTAGAAAAGTGTTTGGTAAATTAGCTGTTAGCTGATAACTGTTTGGTATAATTTCTTTTCTCAAAAGGTTAATTGAAAAAAAGTTGATTGGAGTAGTTTTTTGAATTTTAGCCTTTTAAAATTGCAAAAAACTAATTAACCAAACATTAATATTGATATTTTAACTAAATCAAATAATTAATAGTGGTCAAAATTGACATATAGGCCAATTTTTTACCAAACAGCGTATGTGCCTTCGTCACCCACTTGAAAATATCAATGTTGAAGAGATGATACGATAATAATTACTTTACTCCCTTCGTCCCTAATTGTTTGTCATGTTTACTTTTTGCACGTATTTTAATATAATAAAATAAATGTTACTAACTTTTTAATTTTGTCCCTTAAAAGTAAGTATTATTTGTACAAAATACAAATGTACTTACTCTATTAATTGTCTAAAAATTTTAAAAAGTCAAAAAAGTAAATTGAAAAATGTAGAATGATAGTTATATTTAATTTTGGGAAGAAGACACTATTTTAAAACAAACTAAAAAAAAAAAAAAAGTAAGAAAGATAAAATGAGATGGAGGAAAAATAATTATCAATAATTATCAATAATCTTGAATTATTGAATGATGCACTCTTCATTTTTTTTTTTTGTTGATTGGGGTCTTCTCACCTTATCTCTCTCTTCCTTTTTCTCTTGTCAGGCTGTAGTACGTACATCAAGCATTGAGGGGTTATCTATCTTCTCGCTGTTTTATTTCATGATTAGCAATTCTTTATCTTTTTTTTTTTGAAAGCTAGCAATTCTTTATCTAATTTAGGAAAAACAACATTTCCCTAAATTATTTCACTTTTAAAATTTTGATCTTTTATTATTAATTTAAAGATTTATGGCGTGTTTGGTTCATGGAATAGGTCGAGAATAGAATACCGTTCCCTGGAATAGACCTATTCTATTGTTTGGTTTGTCATTTTATTTAAGGTAATAGCGTTCCCGGGAATAGACCTATTCTATTGTTTGGTTTCCCATTCCTAGGGGACCCCCTGGTATTAGTTATTCCCAAGTATTTGGGAATAGCGCTTTAGTACTATAATACCGAAAATACCCTATCACCGCCACAACTGCCGCCGTCTCCACCACCAGCCCATTACCGCCACCACCACCACCATCGCCACTGCCACCACAACCACCGTCGGCACTGCTACCACCGCTGCCGCCACCACCTCCACTACCACCACTGTCACTCCTATCACCGCCACCGCCACCGCAACCATCACCATCGCCGCCGTGACCGCCACCGCCGCCGCCACTGCCACCAACACCACCACATATTTTTATAAGGGTATTTATGTCTTTTGAAATATATTTCATTCTATTTCTTAAACCAACCAAACACTGTAATATAATTCCTAAAGTCTATTCCTTCCGTGAACCAAACAATAGAATAGAATTCATATTCTATTCCATTCCTTATGGAATAGCATTCCTATTACCTCAAAATTCATTCTCTGAACCAAACGTGCTGTTAGTCTCTTAATTATCTATTATGTTTTATTTTCAGTCCATGGTGTTATATGATTATCAAAGTCCGATCCATTAACAAACTATTTTTTATGAGATTACTTTTGTCACTTAGAACAATATCCATTATTAAAGTTTCACTTTCTCCATGTAAACATCATTTTTAATTTAATAATGAATATTGATTATAAATGATAAACATAACTTCATATGTTAAAATAGTATGACAATTATATAGCACTAGTGACTAAAAGTACAACATTATGAATAATTAAGGGACTAATTAACTTTATTTAAATTAACTTAAGATACCAAATTTCTAAAAAGAAAATACTTCTAGGGCTAATAGTGCCGTTTTTTCTTTAATTTATTTTCCATTCAAATTTTTTAATAATATTTAATCTAATTTTTATAATATTTAATCTAATATTAATGTGTAAAATGTACATATTTTAAAATTACATTAAAAATATCATCAAACAAATAGATACATCTTTAAAAATTAGAAGATGGTGTTAGAAAAAGTATAAAAAAAATAATAATAATAATTTGACAAAGAAATATAGAGGTGGGTAATGTTCATCTTTTAGTCTTCTCCCAAGTCCTCCACTGCACCCTGTCCCCTACTTTTTTTGTGGAACATGTCAATTTTTCGTTTCTGGTTTGTTGTTTTCTACTTTTGTATGTGGAAGACACAGTACACTTATAAGGTACTGAGTGTATACATGTGCTTCAATTCATGTGTCTCCTATGTATAGACTTGGTCACGTACGGATTGGTTTATTTTATTTTATTTTATTTTATTTTTTTTTTGATTGAAAGATCAAAACTGAATTATTGCAAATCAATTTTGTACCATAACTGTACAAACCTTATGGATAAGGTTTAAACGTGAAGAAACTATGATTATGGTTTTAAGAGCATCCTTACATTTGGAGTTTATGTTAGAGAAAGAACTTGAGAATGATTTCTTGTACTGATGTGATGAAGAGATATTGGCATTGTTAGAAATTATCACTTGAAAGTGATCCTAAATCAAGTTGAGAGTAAAAAGTGGTCAGAAATAGCAACAAAGATTTTTTCAAATACCAAAAGTAATCGGAACAAGACTTTTGACTTGATTTAATATCATTTTCAGGTGGTCGGAAATTCTATAATTTCCAGTAGTGTGAAGAAATATATCTCCTGCAAGGAAGAGATATTGAACAGTAAAATGGTCAGAAGGAAGAGGAAGAGCTGTGCGCGAGAAGCCACGCCGGGCACACGCCCCTATCGATAGTTGCTTTAATTTTAATTTTTATTTTTTAAAAATCAGTTTTTTTTCTTCCTCTTTTTTCTCTTCTCTCCCACATTCTCTTTTCTAATCACACTTACAATAACTCATCAAAAACCACAAAATACCTCCACTATTATGGATGCTCTAATGTCAGCATGGGGCAAGGACGACGTAGGATTGAGACTTGATAATCAGAGTGAGAGTTACACTTAATGTGGTGGACTCTTTATAGAGATCCAACATTGGTCCTCCCACTTAAAAAAACCGATGAGTTCCCTTGATATACCCATAACCATCTTGTCAGGCCATGGCGAAAGGATCACCAAGACAAAATATGATGAAAAAGGCTAGCCGGATAAAAATGAAAGTGCTAAAAAAAAAAATTAAGTTAACCACAAGTTCATGAATTGCTTAGGAACTGTATAGTAGCAATAATTCAAGTTATAATTTGTGACAATAATAAATCCTGAACCAATAATTTTGAATCGAACCGAACCAAACCAAACCAAACCGGCCTGAGGCTAATTCTATATATATATATATATATATATATATATATATATATATATATATATATCCTCAGTCTCTATGTTTCCCAATACAAGCTTGCAATTCAATTAAGTTTTGAAAGTTGAGATCGAGTAAATTTGAAACAATGGCTTATCCGAGCTCTTGTCATGGAAAAGGTATGATACTATGCATGGTATATTCATATAGATAGATTATTATTAGTTTAATATATATAATTTCAGTATGCATATATGTATATATTCTGATGGATAGCCTAGCCTGCAGATGATGGTGATCTTGAAGCAGGTAATTATTATGTGGTTGAAGAAGGCAAATATTTGGGATTGTACAGAGCTACAGTGCAAGGAAATTGGGATGAAGCTCAAAAACTGTTCAACCAACATGACAATAATAATAATAACAATATTGTTGTTTTTCCTCTCAACAACAACTTAGACACTGCACTGCATGTTGCTGCCCGCCGCCATGCTTCCTTTTCCTTTGCAGAAAAGCTTGTAGAAAAGTTGGCTGCAGATGATAAAGAAGCTCTTCTTCTCAGAAACCGCAAGGGCTTAGCCCCACTTCACCTTGCTGCCCGTTATGGTTCCCTTGAGGTGGCTAAAGTTCTTGTTCCGAGGAATTCCAGTCTCCTCTATAACACCTCCGCCGAGGGATTTTTCCCCATCCATTACGCAGCTCGGAACACTCTCAACAAGGTGGAAGTGTTTCGGTATTTCTTGGAGGTCACTAAGGATAATGAAGATGGGGAAGCTAATCCATATGAAGGCCCAAGTGGTGCCACTATTCTTGTTAACTTAATCAAATCTAAATTCTATGGTATTTACTCTCTATACGTGTTAAAGTTAATTTTAAGATAACCAGCTTGGTTGGGGTGACTGGTCGTGCACTCTCGTCTCTTAAAGAGAGGTCCGAAGTTTGAACTCCCTCTGGTATGAAAAAATTAATCAGGCACAAGGAGTAGTCTGAGTATGGTACGGGCTTAAAGTGCTTCCTACAGTTAGGACGCGGCCCGGTGTGGTACGGGCTTAAAGGTGCCTCCTACAGTTAGGGTGGCCCGGTGCAAATGTGGAGTAGTCTGAGTATGGTACGGGCTTAAAGGTGCCTTCTACATTTAGGGTGCCCCGGTGCAAATGGGGGTAGTTTGAGTATGGTACGCGCTTAAAGGTGC